ATCCTCTCCTTGGTCTCCTGGATCCTGTGATCCGGTGTGAATGATTGATGGGAGTGGAGGTGGGTCTGTGCGCGGTGTGCTTGTAGCTTGGAGCCCACCTGTCTGTGCCTGCTGGCCACTTAACGGTGGCATATGACGCTCCACTGCTTTTGTGTACTCCTGAATTTTATCACGAAATTCTGCATGGGCGTCTCGCTCCTGCTCAAGAATTTGTCTTATCAGTTTATTCTCATCTTTCTTTTGTTGAAGCTCATTCTGAATCACTTGTATTTCCAGAAGTTTTAAGGAGTTAAGGTCCATCTGGTTTTCAAGCTCACTTTTGGCTTGCTGAAATCCATTTGTAGCCARCTCTAGATCAGATCTAAGGCTTTCTTTTTCTTCAGCTTCTTTTAAAACCCTTTGTCAGAGTTTTACATTCTCTTCACGTAACTGTCTGATTTCGTCAGAATCAGTAGTTGCGAGTGAATCATCCTTGTTCTTGTTAGCTTCTCTTTCAGCTTTTAGCTGTTTATGAAGCTGTCGCACGACGGTGCTTTCGCGACCCAGTCTTACTCTAAGTAAGCATGCTATTTTAGCTAAACGTTTAGGGTTAGCTTTAGGTTTTTCTTTTTTCTCGACTTCATCTGCAATTAGTCTTAACTGATCATTCAGGGTGTCAATGTCCCATTTTTCTGCGTTCTGGAGAAAACCTGGAGCAGTCGGCTTCGTTAAGACCTCTAGGGCTTCTGACACGCCACAAACAATCAACCTTCTTCCTCCAGGAGTTGCAGCATTAGTTTGGTCAAGCGTGGTATCTTGAGTAGGTGAGGGGTCTTGATTATCAGCCATGATTCGGAAGTTCTTGTTGAGTTTTAAAGTGTGTGTTATTTGTAATTAATGTGTCAAAAACTTTTATAGTAGTTAATTGAGAAGTTAAAAATAGCTTTTGGTTGCTTTAAAATATTGTTTGCAAAAGATTTTTAATTATTAAGAAGCGTTGCGCTTACCTGTATAATTAAAGTTATTTGCAAAACAAATATTTTGTAAACCAGCTAAATTTCTAAACAATTTTACAGATAAAAGAGATGACTTAATGTACAAAAATTGTTTATCACACTGTAATAAAGCTTCTTGCATCAAAACCTTTGTTCAATTTATTTATTTTACCTTTGTAAAATATTTTGATGTGGTTTAAATCTAATTGTGTACAGCTCTGTTGGTTCAGAACTGTATTCTGTTAAAACTCAGTATTTTTTACTGTTTTTAATT